TGTTTGTGACCACTTGGTTTGTACTCGAGTCCCAGTGACAGAGTAAATGATGCTAATAGGAAAAATATGACTCTCTCTGCTGAAGCACCCCGGGTGCAGCCGAGGAAACGCTCAGGATCCTTCCTGCTTAAACAAACCGTAATTTAATTCAGGAGTTCCAGCTGCTCAGGCTCTGGGTTTCCATGGTGACGGCTCCCCTCCCCACCTTGGAGCGGGCGCCGTGGGGGGAACCCACCTCCCTGCAGTCACCCTCACGCACCGGGGCCTGGGGGCCTTCCCAGGGACATGGGGGCCGCTGACCCCTGTACAGATAGCTCTGGGGGTCCGGGCCATGACCAAGCCCCTCCCAACTCCACACCCAACACTGGGAGCGGGCACAGACATCTTCCTTCCACCCAGCGTCCACTCACCTCCTCTTGGCCAAGGATCCCCTGGCACTTAGTGGCTCTGCTTGGTGGGGGGCTTGTAGGCAGAGGGAGTGGTCAGCAGAATAAAGCCTCCCAGGGCCCCCATCCTAATCCTGGAGACTGTGACCGTGTCAGGTCACGTGGCAAAGGGGATTAAGGTTGCAGATGGAATTAAGGTTGCCAATTGGCCAACTCTGAGGTGCGGAGGTTGTCCTGGACTGTCCGTGGGCTGGTGTCATCACAGGGTCCTTGACCGTGGGAGCGGGCACAGTCAGTGTCAGAGTGGTGCCCTGTGAGAAAGGCTGCACCCTCTAAAACAGATAAACAGCAGGTTCATACCGTACAGCACAGGGAACTGTATTCAGTATCTAGTGGTAACTTGCGGTGAAAAAGAATATGAAAACAAATGTATGTATGTTCACGGGTAACTGAAGCACTGTGCTGTGCACCAGAAACTGACAGCACCGTAAACTGACTGTGCTTCAATAAAAAAAGTATGTTTACAATAAAAGAAAGACTCCACCCACTTTGCTGGCTTTGAAGGAGGAGCAAGGGGCCACGAACCAAAGGGCGTAGGTGGATTCTAGAAGCTGGTAAAGGCGGGAAGACGGATTCTCCCCTGGAGGCTCCAGAGGACCCTTGCTGACACCTTGGATTCATCCCCATGGGGCATGCATATGACGTAATCAAAACTCTAGGCAACCAAACTGCCCCTTCGTGGCCTTTCAAGCACGCTGTACATCTCCAGGACCGGGAGGAGAACTCCAACACACCTGTGGTGATTTGCTGCAGTGGCCACAGGGACTAACCCGGGGGGGTCACTGATCTGGGACCAGGGGCCGGTAGTCAGCCTCCTTCCGGCGTCCTGGTCCCTCTCTTCCACGCGTGCCCCAGCCCTGAGCCCCTGGTCACAGCCCATCCACCCAGCCTCCCCTGGGCACTGCCCTCATCCTCAGCCGGGATGACACTGTCCACCTGTCGGGGCCGGTGCCCACGCCCGCCACCCTGCCCTCCACACCCCGTTTCGTGGGATCTTGGGGTAAAGATGTCTGCTGGGCCCCATTTCCTGTCACGGGGATGAAGCTGGTACCCAAGCTGTCTCTGGGGAGCCACACGCAGGGCCTGCTGACCACGTGGGCAGGAATGTCCCCACTCAAGATCGGGAGGTGTCCAGGGATGGCAGCCACGGAATCTGATCTAGAATCGAGGGCCGTTTCAGGAGGTGAGGGACATGCCTGCAGGAGACAAGGCTCCAGCCCCACAGGGAGAGTGATCCGGCCACCCCAGGGCCCAGGAGTCACCGGCCAGCAGCCCAGGACCTTTTCAGGCGGAGGCCAGAGGGGATGCTGGCTTTGAGGACAGTCACGGGAAGGGGGCGGCCTGGGACTCGGGAAGGCGGGTTCCCGGAGCGGAGTGGAGTGGAGTGGAGCAGAGCAGATGCAGCCGCCCAACCGCTGACTGCAAGGTGGGAACCTTGTGCTGCGAAGACAAACAGAAGTGGCCGCGGGAGCCCCCCTGGGGGCCGGGCTTGCAGACAGAGCGGGTGGCCCTTCCACTGTGCAGGCGTGGCCCCCAGTTAGGCCTTTTCTTGGACAAACTGTCCAGGTCACAGGGCTGGGTGGTGCCCAAGGGGAGGGCCCTGGCAGGCAGGGGGGCCTGGGCCCTGGGACACGGTTTCCTTAAAAGTCAGCCCCCACACAAAAATAGACACAGATCACTGGAACAGGATAGAAGGTCCAGAAATAAAGCCACACACTCATGGTCAGTTAATCCACGACAAAGGAGGCAAGAACACACAATGGAGAAAAGACAGTCTCTTCAGCAAGTGGTGCTGGGAAATCTGGACCGCTGCCTGCAGAACACTGAGATTAGAACATTCTCTAACACCACGTACAAAAACAAACTCAAAATGGATTAAAGACCTAAAGGCAAGACCAGAGACTATAGAACTCCTAGAGGAAAACATACGCAGAGCAGTCTTGGACATAAATCACAGCAATATATATTTTTCAAACCAGCTCCTGGAATAATGGAAATAAAAGTCAAAATGAACAAATGGGATCTAATTAAACTTAAAAGTTTTTGCACAGCTAAGGATGCCATCCACAAGACAAAAAGACAACCTACAGAGTGGGAGAAAACATTTGCCAATGATGTAACAGACAAGTGACTAATTTCCAAAACATACAAACAGCTCATACACCTTAGTATCAAAAACAAGCAACTCAATCCAAAAATGGGCAGAAGACCTAAACAAGCAATTCGCCAATGAAGACATACAAATGGCCAATAGGCACATGGGAGAATGCTCAATGTCACTAATTGTCAGTAAAATGCAGGTCAAAACTACAATGAGGTATCGCCTCACACCCGCCAGAATGGCCATCATTAAAAAGTCCACAAACAATAAATGCTGCAGAGGGTGTGGACAAAGGGCAACCCTCCTACACTGTTGGTGGAAATGTAAACTGTTGCAGCCACTGTGGAGGACACTATGGAGGTTCCCTTAAAAACTGAAAATAGACTTAACCATATGAACCAGCAATCCTACTCCTGGGCACATACCCAGAGAAAAATAAAATTTAAGAAGACACCTGCACCCCAGTGTTCACAGCAGTACTACTTAAAATAGCCAAGGCATGGAAACAGCCTAAATGTCCATCAACAGATGACTGGATAAAGGAGATACTGTACATGTATACAATGGAATACTACTCAGCCATAAAAAACAGTAAAATGCCATTTGCAGCGACATGGGTAGACCTGGAGATCATCATTCTAAGAGAAGTCAGAGAGAAAGAAAAATACCTATGATATTTACATGTGGAATTAAAAAAAGGGGACACAAATGAATTTATCATTTATAACTTAGATGACTGATTTCTGGACTGTGTGTGAGCACACCTGGCGGTCCTTTTGACTGGATTACCGCATTCTGTTCTTATTTTGTGGTTGGCTTTATTCCTTGGATAACTGTGTAAGTTTAAAAAGCTAAAGCTCTCAACTGTTCTTAGAAACAATGATCAGTACGTGTATGTAAATTAAAAAAGTGCCGTATATTGTATATATGTATTTACACGCAATATGTTGTACGTGTGCAGTCAAATTGTAACAATTCTACCTGATAAAACTGAAAACGGAAAAATAAAATAAAAAAGCGGCTGGCCAGCCCTCCGCGCTTGTTCACCTTTTATTAACAGCTGTCTCTCACTTTCACATTGCAATCCCATGTTTCGTCAGTCTTTCAATTCTCATTTTGGTAAAATAAATAGAGATACATGAACCCTTAGGCTGAGCTCTCTCGAGCCTCCGTAACTTCATGATTGAGTTTTCGCATCAGGCCTCGGGGGGCCCCCGGGCGGGGAGCCGCGGGGCAGGGGGGCTTTGTCTCACAGCCCACGGCGCTCGCTCAGAACCTGGAGTTGGCCTGGGCGGTCAGCGCTGCGTCTGTGGGTGGAGCTCGGCTTCCGGAAGGTTCCAGCCACCACCAGGAGCACTGGGTGCAACTGATGGGCCTTGCAGGGGCACCAGCCTTCCGCGGCCCCCCTGGCCCCACGCTGCTCGCTTGCCCAGAACTAAGTGCAGGCCGTCCTGGAGCCTTCTCCTGGGCCGCGGAAGGCACTCCCCTCGCCTGGTCTGGCCGGACACAGACGCCCGGCCCCACCGCCCTCAGGCGGGGTCCACCTGCCCGGAGCCGCCCCCGCTGGGGCAGGACCGCCGCCCTGCACTAGGGGCCCTGAGCTTCGTCACGGCTGTGACTCACTTCCCACTGTTATTGGCGTCACGGGCAGAGTTAGCTAAGCTAGCTCACCCCTCTCTCTCTGAATAATCCTGATTCCCAAGGAAAATGGAAAAAACGCTTTTCAAACCATCATCATTGTGGTTGTGTCCTGTGTTCCAGGGGCGGCTGCCCAGTGCCCTGTCGTGGACACGTCTGGCACTCCCGTGTTCCCCGCTGTGTGAGCTGTGCCGGGGCGTGTGAGGACAGAGGGCAGGGCGGCACCGTCGCCCCCAGATACTCTGGGGCTCAGGCGGTCCCTCCACGTGTGCACATGTGACACATGTGTGATGTGTGTGGGGCCCGGGCAGGAGCCCGGGAAGAGCAGCACTTCGGAGAGAAACAGGCCAGGGGCCTGCCTCTCCCATCCAAACCGAGCATGCCGGGGTGGAGACCCTGCCTGGGCGGGATGGTGACCTGGGCTCCGACGCTCGGCTGGGATGGGCCCAGGCGGGGACCGGTGGGTGGCTGGCAGGCAGTTGGGCAGACCCTTCCACTTGTGCCGCCTCCGTCCGTCCTCTGCTCAGTCCCCACCCCCGCCCCAACCAGCCCACTGGTCAGTCCCCAGGAGCGCACGCCAGGGACCCAGGACACAGCCTGGGAGGCTGGCTTTCGTCTGGAGCTTTCGTGGACTCATGCTTGCATCACTTGGAAAATAAAACAAGTGTGCTTCCCCTTAAAAATCTCAGAAGAAAACAGGACAGGAAGGGGACTAGGCCGCACAGCGATTGTGTCCTGGGGCCCAGAAGACTCAGCAGAGCAGCGTCTGTCACACAGAACTCCAGCAGAGCCCCTTCCCCGGGCTCCTGGGCGTTGACAGTACAGACAGACAGACAGACAGACAGCGCGGGCCCTCCGTGGGCCCCCAGCAGCCGGGTCGAGACAGTGTTCAGGGAAGCACGGTGGGTCCACTATGTACACGGTGGCGGTGGCGGGCGGGGAGCAGGCCGCTATCTGACACGCTTCTCCACCGAGTACACAGAGATGTAGTAGTCATTGCTCCCCACGGCCAGGTGAGGCTGCGGAGGAGAGAGCCGGTGAGCGCAGGGGAGGGGGCAGGCCGGGCCTCCTGACCCCCAGCCGCCCGCGGGGCAGGCAGCCCAGCTACCACTTTGGGCAGAGATGGCCATCTCCCCATCACGGGGACCCGCCCAGAGCACCCGCATCTTTTCAGGATGGGCCCCCCAGGGACAGTTCTGGGAACCTGCTGAGGTCTGGGCCACCCCTCCCCCGGTTTCTCCAGGGCCCCTTCTCAGCTGTCCGTCTATGCCAGGGACCTGGTGCTGCTCCCGGAGGGAGTGCCAGGGGGCGCGAGGCCTGGCTGCAGCATGCCCCGCCCCCCGCTCCCCCCACAGCGGGACACAGACCCAGTGTGGGTGGAAGGCCAGGCAGCTGATGGCGCCGACCCGCTGGCCCATGAAGCCGTCGTAGTACTTGATGTGGTTGATAAGCTCCCCGCTGCCGCTGTAGATGGCGGTGAACTGGTTCATGGAGCCGCTGCGGGTGAGGACGGGCTGGCTCAGCGCGGGGGAGCGGCTCCCCTCCTGGCACCCCTGCCAGAGGGCTCAGGCCGCCGGCTCCGTCCCCTCAGCTAGCCGGGGTGAGTGGCAAAGGGGCCCCACATGGGCTCCCCGACCCCGGGCTCCCCCACATGGCTCCCCAATGGGCGTGTGTGCGGGCACAGGGCCCAGGGCTGACTCTGGGGCCCTTGGAGACACTTCGGGCAGGATGGGGGCTTCTGAGGGTCATCACCTACCAGGCGATCAGGTTTGCCTGGGGGTGGATGTCGAGGGCCGTCAGCCCCTTCACGATCTGCAGGACGTTCACAGACTCTGGCATCCGAGGGTCAAAGAAGCGCACGTCCCCGTTGACACTGCCAAGAGGGGTCATGGTGACGCCAGGCCACCCACACATGCCACTCAAGGCCAAGGCTGCCTGGACGCTCAGCACGTCCAGTGAGGCCCCTGGGCAGTATGTGGGCCCACCTCAACGACCCCAACAGATGACAGGGACAGCCCCAGCCTCCTCCCCAAAGCCAGGAAGAGCCCAGCCGCAGAGCCGCAAAGCTGCGACGCAGTGAGCAAGGCCGCGGGGGAGGCTCTGAGGTATCTGCTCATTTCCGGCCGGAGATTAGATTTTGTGCAGCCCGGGATGCGGCGACAGGAGGTGGCAGGACGGGAGGCTGGCTCGCCGCCCCCAGAGGCCACCTCCTCCCTGCCCCTGGCCTCTGGGGGCATGGTTCCGAGGGCTGTGTTGTTTCCATATCACAAACAAGGGAAAGAGCATCTCTTTGAAGAGAGGGTGACTTTGTGACAGTAAATTACATTTGCTGTCCCTGTGACGGCAAGTAAACATCCACTGCTCTCAGCACAGGATTGCTGGGCAGTGGAAGCGGATCCTCAGTGATCCCGGCACATGCCTCCTCCCCGCCCCCGCTCGGCTGCATGGCACCCATGGGCAGCGCTCCAACGGGAGGGCCTGCTGTCCCCTCTCTGTGCTGGCCCTGACCTTTCTGGCCAGGCCTGGGGCAGAAGCTAATTGCTACCCTGAAAGGCCATCATTTCCCAGCTGCTTAAATACCAAGAACATATTTTAAATGAAGAGAAAACAATGTTTTTACAGCGCAATGTCTCATGAATATTCCTGCTCATTACCTGACACTCATGATGTGGCCCTCGGGGTGCTTCTGGAGGTAGGCCTTCACCACCCAGGCCGTGTGCTCCCGGTAGGTCATGACGCGGCTGGAGGGAGGAAGTCGGGTCAGTTCCAAAGGGCCGCCAGGCTCCGGGGGAGGCCGGGCAGGGGGCAGGCCCAGCCCAGTTACCATTCACTGAGCGCCATCCTCCTGTCGTAGACGCGGATGGAGCCGTCGCCGAGCCCGGCCACGATGAGGGAGCGGCGGGAGTCGCAGGACAGGCTCGTCACGCAGCTGTCGGCACCCGTGGGGATGTCCTAGGGCCACAAAGAGACCCCGTGAGGCTGCCTTCACAGCCACCGTGGGTGCAGCCGTCACCCCGGGGCGGAGCCGCTGCCTCCTCCAGCAGGGAAGCCGCCAGGGCCAGAGGAGTGGACGGGCGAGGGTCCGGGGGAGTCAGGCCCACCGCCACTGAGTGACAGCCCTGCAGCCACAGCCAGGAGGGCAGCCGGATTCTCAGGGCCACAGGCCCCACCGCCCGTTACCCTCCCCGCCGCCCCCCGCTTTCCTAGAAGGCAGGCGAAGCACATCTCGGCGGGAGGAATCCTGGAGGGCTCCCTCTTAAAAGTTCCTCATTAGCTCGAGGACGGGCCTGGGGGAGTCCTGCTGCCCATCAATGTCAACTTCCCTCTCCTCCTGGCAGCTGTCAGTGCTGGAGAAGGGTGTGGGTGTGATGGAGGCCCCGCGGGAAACAGCAGGAGACAAAAGACGGGCCCCAAACGGGAAGGTGCTTCTCTGTCAGCGAGGCCCAGCGCAGACGGAAACCCAACAGAGTCTGTTTAAAAGGCGGAGCCGGCCTGCCTCAGCCCTGCTTCCTCTGCGCCCAGCTCGGGGCCCCCACCTCCCGGAGCACTCTCAGGGTGGAGTGTGGGGACAGGACCCCAGGTGATGGCGCCAGTGTCAGGGTGTCCAGCTGCGTCCCAGGAAGGACTGGACGCAGCCGACTGTCATCACAGTCCACGAGCGCTGGGTGGAGGGGGCGTCACCTCCTCCAGGGCTGCAGCCCCCGCGCCCCCCACAAGGAGCTGCGGTCTCTTCGTTCCGGGCGGCGGTCCCTGCCCGGGGCCCGCCACTCTCCCAGGACGTCTAGGGCAAAACCAACTCACTCCTCTCTTTTTATTAAAACCCAAATAAAAGATGCTTTAAGAAGCACTAAATCAGATAATCATGCTAATTTAAAACAGACTCAGCCTGCTGCCTCCTGCCAGTCCCTAATCTGCACAGATAAAACAACACTTGACAGTGAGGCTGAGCGCGGCTGGGGTGCAGGTCCCGGGTCAGGCCCGATGGGCACAGGGGGACCAGGAGGAGGCCCGCACTTGCTCTCCCAGACCCTGCCTCCCCGCCCTCCAGAGACACTGAGGCCTCGTCACAAACTGCACCCCCGAGACCCTCATTCTCCGTCCTCGACTGGAGGGTGAGCGGAGCTGGGGAGGGCGGGGGGTCTGCACACTAGCCCCCGGCCCCCCAGGAGGCCCAGCTCAGGCCGGCGTGGTTACCTGCACCTTCATCTCGCGGTCCGTGTCCCAGATCCGGACGATCCGCACGTCTCCTGAGCTCATGAGGAGGCCGGTCTCCTGCTCCCAGTCCACCACCATCCCGGCTCCTGGAGAGACAGACGGGCAGTGTCACCAAGGGAGGCTGTTCCCAGGAACCACTCAGCCAGCTGGGGCCGACCCAGAGGGTGGGTCCCAGCCCTACACATGATGCGGGGCCTTCTCCAGGTCCTGGCTGCACCCCAGCGCCTGCCAAGGGGACACCATGGCGCTAGGACCGCCTGTCCAAGATGCCCGCCTTCCAGAATGCCTGGCCGCGGCTGGCAGGTCTGGGGACTCAGAACGGGTGTCAGTGACCAGGTGACGCTAGTCCTCAGGCCACGTCAGAGCCCCAGCCCCGCGTTCCCCAGGAATGAACGGCCCGCAGCGGCCCCTCTCGGCGGCAGGGGGCTGACTGCGGACGCCGGCTGTGAGTGAGACAAGGGACCCCCGCCCGACGCCAGCCCGGACAGGGAGCAGGGGCGCCTGGCCCTCCGGGGGCAGCGCTGACACCTCCCAGGACTAAGGTTTGATTTTAAGTATTTCAGAGATACAGAACACACCAGAAATCCTTGTACCCACTGCCCTGATCTAACAGTTGCTAATATCTCTGCAGTTTTGCTCTTTTTTTCCATTTGGAAAAGAAGTGAAATTATAGACACACTGAAAGCCTCACATCCGTGTGTCCTGTCCCCGGCCTGCAGGCCGAGGGCGCTGCTCCCCTGCAGGGGCGCGTGTCCAGAACCAAGACACACGCCTTCCATGTTTCAAAAAAAGTCACCAATCGCAAGTGCAAGTGTATTTTCCAGCGACCTGCCTTTTCCCGGGAATGTTACACTTCGAGGTTTATCCGACTTGACAGACGAGGGTCTGGGTAACTCGTGTACCCTCTGGGTCACATGCCCTTGGGGAGAGAGCCTGTCACGTCCGCGACCCCCAGGCTTTGTAAACCACGCCACACTGAAGATGTTTCCTTGTGCCCTGTGCACGGGAGGCGGGGCCCTGGGAAGGGGACAGGTCCCACTCCCCAGGCAAGGCCATCTAGCCCCAGAGCGGGTGCCACGCTGCAGACTCAGAAGAAAGGGAGTCGAGCATGAAGCCGTCATGCTGGATTCCCCTCCAAGCTCCGACCTTTCTCCAACCCTGGACTGTCATATGTACGTGTCACCTCAGGCCCCCACTTGGACCTGAGCTCCTCAACACTCGTTCCCATGGCCCCCATGGCCTCCCAGCTGGCTCCCGCTCTGCTCTGGCCTCCAAACACCGCCTGGGTGGGTCCTCTTGCCAGGGAGCAGGTCCGGCACCTGGAACGCCCCTCTCCTGATGTCACACAGCCACCTCCTCGACCCCATGAGGCTGGGGCTCTCCCTGCTCCGCCTTCTCCTCGCTCAGATGCATCACCTCGTGTGCACACTGCCGTCATGTCTGTTCCCCAGAATGTCAGCTCCCGAAGACAAATGGGTGAACCTTTGTTCCACCCCTTAGAACAGTTTCCCCACTGCAATGCCCCAACCCCGGCAGGAGGCCACACCCCAACGTGCCAGAATGGCATCTGCTGGGGGCAAGGCTACAGGCGAGGCCCTCGGCCCCATCCTCATATCCGGACCCACAGGTGCAGGGGGGCATGTGACCCCCCCCCTGCCCAGGAGACCCAGTCACATGGCGATCGGTCAGCCCAAAAGCAGAGCCTGAATCTCCACCTCCGGCCTCCCTCATGACATGCCCGCTGTGTGTTCACGTAAGTGAATCACAGACGACGCGCCCGCCCAGGACCCCAGCCTTGGGGCGGCACCAGGTCCCTGCAGGGCTACAGCCCCCGATCTGTGGACCGCCACTGGGGTGGTCCTCCTGCCCGAGTGGGACGCAGCCCCAGGCCTCCTCATGGGACCTTTCCCGACCACGCCTGTGTCTCGACTTCCAGACACAGCAGAGCAGAGACGACCTGATTCATCCCGAGTTGGTAGAAGATGATGAAGAAGGTGACGCTTTCTTCCTTGACGTGTTAAGCACAAGGGACGAGACTGACGGCTGTGATGTAAGGACAACTCACGAGACGGGGACACTGTGGCCCCGAATCGGAGTGAAGCTCTCCCATTGTTTCGCTCCTGGGGGACTCGGCCCTGCAGTTTCCCGCCGTCTCCGTCCCTGGAGAGCCTACAGCTGGGGCGGGGGGGGGCTCACGCCCTCCCCTGGCCTCTTGGGCCTTTCCTATTTTCCAGGAGCTTCAAGCGTGAGTCCATATGCTGCGCCTGCGGGACATGGGCGCGTCTCTGTCCTCCTGACGCGTCTGACAGAGCCTGACTGGCACCGCACGGCCGCAGCCCCTCCCTACAGAGCTGCAACCCGAGAGCATGAGGTCACACTCCACCTAGTGACCTCCATCGGACTGCCCGGGCGGGGCTGCGCAGCCACTGGGGGCAGAGATTCCTCCCCTCCGCCAACCTCACCCTGCCTACAGCCCCTGGTCACGTGTTCTGGTCCAAAAACTAGCCCAATTTCTTCACTAAACTACAGATGCACGGAGCAGGGGTGGTTGGACAGGAAGCCGGAAAGAGTCAGGCTGGACAGCACCGTGGGCCCAGCGGACAGCGACGTGAGAGACACGCCGTTTCAGAGGCTCGGGTCCCTGTGGTGTCTGCGATCAGCCTCCAGGCTCAGTGGGCAGTCCAGACGAACCTGAGGACCCTGTCTTCTGGAACAGACCTCAGAGACCCCAACGTGGACTTGACCTCTGAGGACCTGCCAGGTGAACCTGATCCCTAAGGACTGGTCATCTGGAACTGACCCCTAGGGATCTGTCATCCTGAAAGAGGCCCTCGGGGGCTATAGTTCTGGAACGCCAAGGAGGAGGACCAGGGCCTGCCCCACCAGGTACATGTGAGAACCTCAGACCTGTGGGATGGCAACTCCTGTCCCCTCCCCAGGGACACAGACGCAGAGCCCCCCACGGGGCCAGGCCTCCTTCTGGTGCCCTGTGAACACCTGCTGGTCCTGGCCTGGGCCCGAGAGAGCGGCCACTGGGCCTCATCCATCTACCTCCTGCACTGAGAGGCCTTCCCGTCCACCGGGTCCTGCTAACTAGACTCTGGATGTGCCTGTGACCCTGGAGGAGGAGGGCGGCGTGGGGAGGGTGTGGGCACCTGTGAGCCTGCGGAGCCGGGCCTCCCGCCCGGCGGGAACTGAGCCTCTGCGGGAGGCGGCCCCGCTACAGCAGGCGTGGGCTTGGGCTGTTTTCTGTTCCCAGCTGTCACGAGGGTGGCCTGGAGCAGGATGAGAACTGGGCTGTCCTTGAGGACAGGATGAGCCCAAGGGTGAGGCCACCAAGGAAGACGGGAGAGACGCAGCTCGGGGCTGGCCGGGCTGGAGCCGCGCCTTCGGGACGAGGATTGGTCCTGCCCCGGCTTTCACTGAGGTTCCTCCCCAGAGCCTCACGCAGGCGCCTGGCTGGCCCCATGAGGTCCCTGGCCCCATGAGGCCCGAGTGCTCAGCTTCTGTACTAAGGAGACTGCACGGAGGGAGCAAGTAAGAAAACCAGTCCTAACCTCGGCAGGCGGAACAGCTTGGCGGGCGAGTGACAGGCGCCAGCTCCCACCCTGGGCACTCACAGGCAAGACACAAGGCACTCACCTCCCTGCTTACTGCGGTCAAGATAGATCGAGACCTTTCGTGCCAGACCTGCGAGGAAACAGGGATTATGGGTTTGATGCGAGGGCAAGCTGGCCAGCCAGAGCCGAATCAGCCCCAGTCAGACACACGGCAGTGGGTCACAGGAAGCCAGGGGAGGCGCTGACAGCCGCCCAGGGGCAGCCTCAGCCGGAGGAGACGGGCCAGCCTGTCCATCTCAGCGAAGACGGACCTACAGAAGTGAAGACCCAACTGTCAGGGTTTCTGGCTACAAAGGGAGTCTCTCACTGGCTGGGAACCTGGGAGGTGCCGTGACTTGGCTGAAACGAGCTGGCGGCACTTCGAGTGAATGGAGGTTAGTGCCAGGCGCGCACACGGTTAGCGCAGCCAAGCCGGCAGGGGTTGACCCGGCCGCGCCGGAGCAGGAGCAGCGCGGCGGCCACAGGAGGGCAGATGGCGCCTCTGTCCGGGGTCTCAGCACCAGGACAGCTCTTCATCCCCGGGGGGCCTGGCGGCCAGCGAGGAGGCCTGGGAGGTGCCGTCCAGGCATCTGGGCGCGGTGGCCAGAGGAAGAGACGTCCCACAGAACAGGGCGCACGCAGCTCCAGGCGTGCAGCTCCAGGGCATGGCCAGGCCCCCGGGCTGCGGGGAGCCTGAGGGGGCAGCGTCCCCAGGCTAACTGCAGTGTGTGCACGAGTCTGTGTGCTCACGTGTGCACGTCCATGCATGTGCGCATGTGCACACACGGAGCCAGAGGCACGCCAGGATGACGCCGACACCCTGCACATTTCACACAACTTCCGGAAAGCAGGGGTGGGGCTCCTGTGGGAACAGACTTCTCTTTAGCCACAAACCACGGAATCAAATCTTTGCAAACAAATCTTTGCCAAGACAGCGACCTGGTGAGTGGATTCCGAGCACAGGGGAGACCCTGCAGGCAGAGCTAACCACCGAGGGCATGCGAGGTCCTCCGGGTCTCCTGACCCACTGCCCTCCCCGCCATGCGCCCTGCACATCAGTGTGCAGAGGACGAGACCCCCCCGCCCCATGCCCTCTGCGGCTGAAGGACTTGGTGGGCCAGGCCTCTGGGGCTCATGGCTGTGCAGGACCCCTGCCACGGGCACGTGGAGGAGCTGTTGACAGCGCCCCTCTTCCACACACACTGCTCACAGAGGCCCAGTGAGGAGAACAGAGTGCCCCGTGCCCCGAGAGGTCGCCCGGAGCAGGGAGTGGGGCTGCGGCCTCTGCCTGAGACAGTCCTGGGGGATGCAGCTGGCACTCTGAAGGGTCTCGCGCTGCGGACGTGCCCCAGGTGCCTAAAAGCAATGTCTGTGGAAGTTGTTGGGTCTCCCCCCAGGGCTGCAGCCACGGCTTTGAGTGTGTCCGGTCAGAGGCCAGACTGCCTCTTGGGATGGGCAAAGAGAAGGCAGCCCGGTGCTGGCGGGCGGAAGGCTACCAGAAGTCGGCACAGGGGCCGGGACCCCACCAGACCCGCCCCTTGGTTACCGAGCTCGAGCTCCTCAAGAGTAAATGAGAACAGGGGGCCCTCTCGGGCCCTGACAGGGCTGTGGGCCCCTCGCCACAGAGGGGGGCTGCGGGGGCTGGAGGGTGTGGGGCTGAGAGCTGGCCAGGCTGCTGGGCTGCGGGTTCTCAGGCGCCCCTCCTGGCCCTGCAGACACAAGCCTTCCTGTCTCAACCCCAGGCTCTGGGTCCTTCCACCCCTTCCCTGCCCTCAAAGAACAAGGAAATAACACCTTCCTCTTTGCTACGCCCACTGCTGCCTGACTGGAAGGCAGGGGATGGACCAAATGAACCTGCCCAAAGCCCTCTCCCCCCACCTGCTGACGAAGACCTGGAGGTGAGACCCCCAACAGCTCCCTGGCCCCTCGCCAACCACGCCTCTCCCGGGGAGATTTCTGAAAACCTGGGAAAGGCAGAGGGTCCAGCAGGAGCTGGTAGGAAACACTGGTGGAACCCACTCTCACGTTAGGGATGCAGTGCACACCTGGGCTGGGGTGGCTCTCCACCCACAGGTGACGTCCGCTCACGAGCTGGGGACAAGTGCTGGGGCACCCCGAGACAGTGCGAGGGTCAGTTCACTCACCTCGGCCTCCTTCCCTCCCAGCTAGGCAACCCCCGGCACGCCGTCCCCCGCTGGGCGCCCCCACACGCGCACTGGGGGAAAGGCAAGTGGCTTTGTGGGCAAGAAACCACACACACCTCTCCTGGGGCGGCAGTTGGGCAGCTGCGGAGGAAGAAGCCAGACCACAGCAGGTCTCCCGAGCCGTCCCATCCTCCGGCCCAGCCAGAAGCCCTGACCTGCTCTGCAACAGCTCGGCCCTGCCCTCCTGCATTGAGGTGTGCGTCGAGGGGCTGGTGGAATGGCTGGAGCCTGGGGCATGCCGCGTGCTGGGACGGCTGCAGGAAACTAAGGACTGAAAACTATGATTTGACTCGGCCAGAGGGTCCCGCAGTGACACCTGTGGGCGTGAACACCCGGGAACCCGGTGAGGCCATTAGACACCTGCTCGGTCTGGAACCTGGCCCCCTGCAGACCCACCAGCTCCAGGCTGGGGTTGCACTGAGCGAGTGGGAGGTGGGGCTGCTGGGCAGGCTTTGGCTTGAAGATGGGAAAAAGCAGGAGAGAGACGAGGGACCCTGTGAGGCACTGTCACCACGTTGGCACAGGACCGGCCCAGAGATCCGGCAACAAGAAATGGCTGTTTTGTCTGAAGGACATGTAAAAACATGGCTGACTTGAGAAATTAACAAATAAAGAAGTGTCTGCTCTGCAGCAGCCGCGCCCGAGAGTCAGCATCTCCCTAGGACAGGTGCTCGGGTGGAGGCAGAGAAGTGGCCCCGTGGGCGTCCGCTGCGAAGAGCCCAGCCACAGGGCCACACAGAACCCCAGCTGCAGGGCCACTCAGTGCCACCCGGGGGCCACGCAGAACCCCAGCCACAGGGCCACGCAGAACCCCAGCTGCAGGGCCACTCAGTGCCTCCTAGGGGCCACGCAGAACCCCAGCCGTGGGGCCACATGGGGACACGCAGAACCCTAGCTGCAGGGCCGACCGTGAGCTGCTCCTGCTTCCACTCGGTGGGGGCCCTGCATCCACACTGGACCCGGGGAACACAGCCTGGCAGCTGCGTAAGTAAACGCCGTGCAAGGGCTGAGCGCCAGGCTGAGCGCGCGGGCACAGCGGGGGACGGTGCTCTCACCGTGGCCGAGGGGCGGCCGTGCCCACCAAGGGGCTGCGCACACGTCCTCCCTCAGGGACCAGGCACACGGGAGCCCCATGCACTCAGCACCAAGCAGGTTAACGGGTGCAGAGAACACAGAACGCAGCCAGGCCCTGCGGCAGAAGCTGGGGACACGGGTGGTGGGCTGGTCAGAGCGCAGCGGGACCTCCGCCCGCCAGGGGCCGTCCCCCGAGCAGGAAGCTGGTGGGGGTGACCCGAGGAGTCTGGGTGGACAGGGCGCCTGCGGGACCTCCAGGTAGGGGAGCACCCACCTCGGGTAGTGGGCAGCATGTCGGAGAGCCCCTGCCAGGCCGTCACCATTTCGGGATTCTTTTCCAAATCGGCAAAGTTCTTCCAGACCCTGATGGCACCGTCATCTTGGGAAGAGAAGAGGAGGTTAAAGCGCAAGCCTGTGCTCTGGGGTGTGGGCCGGGACCTTGTTGGGAGCCGCAGGGCAGAGCGAGGGCCTCAGGGCTGGGCCTCCACCCACCAAGCCAGTCTCCCCCCGGGGGACGGTACAGGGCCTCTCTCTCCGGCCTCCTGTCTGTGCCCCGCACGACTCAGGAAACGGTGGACGACTGAGTCCCGACCTCCACCCGGCTGCCCGTCGCCCCCACCCCTGCAAAGCGAAGCTCCAGCTGAGAACTCAAGCCTGGCCCTGCCTCTCCCCGGGATCCCACACCTGAAGGGCCCTCGGCTGCCCGTGCTGTCCCTGAGCCGGGACCCGCTCTCTCTGCCTCCGCGGGCTCACAGAGAGGCTAAGTGTGACCCGTGCTTAGCCCCTCGCTGGCCATGCCGCCTGCCCGCACCCCACCACCTGAGCCTGCAGCAGCGGGGGGCTGTCAGCAGGACCTCTCCCCACAGGTGTGCCCTACACGGGGGGCCCAGGTGCACTTCAAAGAAGAGAAAGGAAGGTTGTCAGTACAAACAGCTCAACTATCTCCACAGCTCCGAGGCCCAGGCCCGGCCGGGTCCGACAGGCCAGGCCAGGATGGGGTCGCAGGGCAGTGAGCCTAGACGCCCAGCTCCCTGGCTCCCCTTGGCCATGTGATGGGCTGCGAGCCCTGGCACGAGTCCCGCTGGGCCTGCCCTGCTCGCCCTCAGTGTCCCGAGACCCACTTGCCGGCCTCCGTGGGTGTCCCGGAGGACAGAGACTGAGGGTGCCTTTCCTGGGCAGGGAAGCGCCAGGTGAGGATATGGTCCTCGAGACACTGCCCAACACTGCTTCCCCTGTCACCTGTGGGTAAAGCCCTTCCCCTCTTAACTCTTCAGTGACGTGGCGGGGGCCTTCACCTGGAAGCAGTCAGTCCCCTCCGCCAGAAGAAATGGTTGGGGTCACAGGACCCTCCGGGTGAGCTCGTGCTGGGGTCTCGAACCTGCCCTCCTTCACCTCCGCATTGGGGTTTGGGTCCCCACCAGGCCAACCCCACTCACCCGTGGCCGTGAGCAGGAGAGAGCAGTCCTGGCCGTTCAGATACTCCATGGCGGTGACCCGCGTGTACCGAGGGTTCCCGTTGTGGAAATAATCCAGCTTCTCCCCTTTCTCCCAGTCCCAAAAGCTTCAGGGAGTAAGAGAGGAAAAAGGCGGGGATCAGGGAGACGCAAACAAGCCCACAAGAAGAGACCACCGCGCCCCCACCAGGTCGGCGCCATCGAGAACACAGGGAGGCACGAGTGCTGCCCAGAAGCCGAGCGGCGCTGGCGGCAGTGCAACGGGGCACGGCCGCGGCGGGAAGCGGGGGGCGGGGCCCCCCAGATGGCCGGGCACAGGAGGCCTCCCACGTGCTCCCCGGGCCCCATGGGCGCGC